TATTAAGCAATGCAAACTCCAACCAAACTCCCTTACTCCAGCACGACTTCCACTAGTTTCACGGGAGTTTTGCACCAGAGAAGACGCATGATCCGATTTGTGTAAATACGCTTCAAATTCCTGGTGCGTTTGTTTCTGCATTTCATCTTTATTGGCTCCCACCAGTATCAAACTTGTTAAACCCTGGACTTGTGCCAAAACAGTACTACGGACCGAGATCTAACGACAACTGTTCTGTTAATTCCTTCGGTGGTAACAGGAAACTACTCCACACTTCATCTTCCCAGTGGTGTACAACATTCAATTCTAGCAGCAAAGATGAATGAGATTTCCTAACTTCAGTTATTTATAAACCCATTAGTGTCACGTCACCCCAGCTATCATCTAATGCATATCGATTCTGAGCTCTATTTGGGCAGCAAGTCCTATTTTGCATGGTACAGCACGAGGGGGCTGTGACTTGCAAAAGCTCCATTCTGACGGGGTCATTAGAAATTTGATTAAAGACGGAGCTGCACAGCTCGGTCAAAAAAAAATACAGAGCTTGGAGAGAAAAAAAGAAAGAAAGAAAAAAAGGGTTTGCTTTCTTCACGTACCCCCAACTCTCAAAACTTCCCAAGCAGAACTTGCGATACGTGCAGCTGAAGCAGCAGGGCACACGGGGCAGCAATCGCATCTTTCCTGGGAAGGGACATGCAGCAGGGGTATAAACACAACCTTGTTCTACGGTTAGCCAAAAAAGAAAAGTCACGCGGTGAACACCGGGCGCCCCAGAGGACCGGAGCAGCGTTCAGCTAGCGCTCGCATTTTGAAAAATCTCATTTTGTAGCACGGCGAGATAAGACACGGGAAGAGGGCATACGCTTCATCACACTACCGTTTAGTGATCAACGCAGTCTGACTTACCAGCTGCACAAGTTGCTTTTAATAAGTTTCAAAGTGAAAAACAGCAATGTCAGTCATACTTCCAAGCCAACTGCTCTTTCAGCGACAGTTGACTTCTTTAAGCACCGAATAAACGATCGGGAAGTATCCAGTCCTTTTTTCTCCCCCTTCTAAATGTTTATTCCCAGCTGCAACGCTGCTTCCTGCAGAGCAAGCGCTGAGCGACTCAGCCCCGTCTAGCAGCCGCCTTCCCCCTCTTCCTTTCAATGAACCAGCAATACGTATACGTAGTAAGCTGCGCACAGAGGAGAGCAACGCTGCTGTCACAGAGACCTTCAAACAGTTTGAAACACCGCGGACGCCTGCAAACTCAAAAAAAAAAGAAAGAGAAAGAAATCCTTTAACCAGCCTAACGGAAGTCAGACCGCGCTAAGCGCTGACATTTGCCAAGCGGCAAAGGTTCGCCGACTGCAACGGCGACGCACGCTCACGCAAAGTCGAGCTGCTTTAGCTAAACCGCATTTAAATTATTTTAAGGAGGAAACTCCACCGTGTGATTTTATCTTCTTAACGAGCTGTGGGACTGACAGACATCAATTTACGGGAGCCATCTACCTTAACGCTAGTTCTGACGCGAGAGCCGCTACGTCCAAATTACGCGAAAGCAGCACATCCATCCAGGAGCTTACGCTCCCCTACTAAGTTGCATCGTTATCCTGTTTAACTTAAGAATTATGTAAGTTGTCTTTTATA